CCTCCTTGCATCTCTTGTGGAGAACAAAAGCTTTCAACTTACGGATGAGCATCCCCTGGCCTATGCTGAACACCTTTCAGCTTGGAAGGAGTGATTGTTTTAAAAGTTTTGTCACCAAATGCTAAGTAATGGGTCATGTGTTCATGCTTGACAGGTTCTAGTTCATGTGTGAAACCAATCCAGATAGGTTTTGTGCTGACTTCCAACTTGCAGGAGCAAGGCTATGTCACAACGGAGACCAGCACTGTGGGCAAGACTTTGTGGAGTCTGTCTGTAGTTGGAGTGGCTTCTGTCAAAACTTGCTGGAAGCTTTTGAACACCCAACCACTGTTGAAGATTCGTGATGAGCCTTTTGAAGAAATGTCCAGGTATGAGCTCATTTGCCACTTGAAAAAGGCAGGTTGGCAAATGCAAGTTGCCTCTTCTGCCAAGAACTTGTCGCCTTTCATGTGTGGTGGTTCTCAGCCGTTGGTCTGGTTTTTGAAGAAAGGCCAAACCGGAAATGAGATATCAGTTGCGTATTTGCGTTTGCTTTTGACTGCTGCTGAGCATGGCAGGCAAATTCCGCATTTGTGTCAGCCGGGCAGGTACAATCAGCTTTTGAATGGGGAAGTTCCTCCTGCTTTGAATTCTTCGAAAAGAAAACCAAGTCTACAGCTTGAGTGTGATGATTGGGGATTGTTGGTACCAGTGCCCAAGCCAAAACGCAAGCGTGCCCGCAAGCAAAGCTCACAAGCTGACAAGGTTCTTGCTTTGTTGGACATCAATCAAGATGAATTGCTTGAACCTGTGGATTCTTTAGATGCAGGGTCTGATGTGCAAGGACCAGCACTAGCACCTTCAGTGTCCCATCATAGTATACCCCATGACACGCAGCCCGCAAATGCTTTCGACCCAGGTGAATTTGAAGCAATTGAACCAAACAGTTCTAAGGAATCAGAGTCATCTTCCAGTTCATCCTCTTCTTCAGATTCAAGCAGTAGCAGCACCTCAGAAAATGTTGAAGGTTCCCATGAACCTAGTGCCGCCATTCACACAGAGCCAGAAGAAGTTCAGGCAAAAGCAAAGTTTGTTCGCGAGCCTGTGGCTGCAACCCAGCCCCGCATCAGAACTTTCCAGGGTGAAGCTTGGGGAGTGTGCCTTTTGACACCTAGGTATAAAGCCAAAGTTCTCACAGGTTTGCAAATGCATTGTTCCCGTCCTGAACACAATCTTGACAAGAAGAGATGTACTAAGGAATTGTCATTCGGTGTTGCAGGTGATGAGGCAACATGTCGCAGAATGTTGAAATCTTGGATCGTGTTTGCTTCCTCTGTGTCATCTCGTGATGAGCGCATGTTTGAGACCTGGAAGCTGATCCAGGTCATGAAGCGTGAGAATGGATTGCCTTCAGAAGATGACTTGAATTTGAATGTTGTGCATGATTGGGAGTCATATCATGCAGTTGAACCAGTCAAAGATGTTCCGCCTCAACTCTCTGACAATGCCTTTCCTGGCATTCTTGGCCCACCAGCAAAAGGTGTTCCTGAAGCAGTGCACGCTCATATGGAGCACCTTGCTGCAAACAAAGTGATACCTGTAACACTTCCAGCTCAAAGAGCCCGAAACAAATGCACCGCTGGAACTAGCTATGGAGTTCCAGCTTGGCTGGCAGATGCGCGGAGGTATGGATACATTCACCCAAATTTGCCTGCGCCTCAAGGATGTGTTTGGAGGTTCACCAATGGAAACACATGGACTCTATGCACCAAAGGTGGATGAGCTTCAGCTGTGTCAAAAAATGTTGGGCTTCCAGCTTTTGCATTTTGTGAATCTTGACAGATGACATTCTTTCCTGCAAGTTTGAAGTTGGGAAGCTGTGCAGTTGTGTTTTCTTGTAATCTTGCACCTGTTTTTGTTTGTGGAGCTTTCAGTTCACCGTTGAAACGCGCTGGCATTTGTGTTTATAAATGTTTGGCAAGTTTGTCATAGGGATGTGTAAGGAATTGTTCATTTTTATGGTTTTGCACCTGTAGCTGTCGTTTTTTAAGTTTCAGTGTTGTTTTTGATTTTTTTTGAGTTCTTAACTTCCTTGCGGAACAGGCAGGTCCTAGCCATTGAACATGTTTCCTTCCCAACATTCCTTAGTTCACCTATTTTCATAGATTTCCCTCCTTAGAGCATGCCCTCAGCAACGTAGACATCAAATCCTGACTTGCTGAATGTCGGAAGCACCACATATCATCCATTATTGGCCTTCTTTCAAGCACTTCTCCCTTCGCGGCTACTACCATTGTATTCATTGTTTTCGCCTCACAAACCACTGGTTTATGCACACTTTTGCATCAATTTCATCATCTCACCTGAACTCACCGGAACTCACTGGAATTCCCCGGAACTCTCTAGCAACTGAGCCACTACCTGCCCACAATTGCAGTATTTTGGCAAAAAACATCACACAACTGTTCTTTTTTGTTATTTTTGTTTTTTTACTTGTTTGTTGTTGTTTTCATGTGTTCCTTCCCTTTCATCATGAGACAAGCCAATTTGTTGTCATTCTGTCACTTTTGTGTTTGTTTTGTGTTTTTTGTTGTTTTCTTTGTTAAATTGTTTTCTTTACAGTTTTTCTTTATGTAACGCCGTTGAATTATCATTGTCAGTGTTCATGCGCACAAATTGCAGTGTTCTTTAGATTGCAGCAACTGCACTGATTGGAGCAAACATATTTATTGTTCAAGGTTCCTTACAAGAACAAGAGCTATGTAGAAGCTATGTAGAAGCAAAGAGAAGGTTGTCAATGTTGTCCTTGCAACTAATGTTCTTCAAGAAGAATCAATTGTTATAATGGTGTTGTTATCATATGTTCCCATGATTTCTTTCATGTTCCCTCCAACACCTTCTGGCTTTCTGGAATGATGGCCAGTGAGAAACGCAAGCGAGTTGCCTGGCATGAAGAGCGACATGTGCGGGCAAGAGATCTTCCTAGTGGCCCCCAGAATGCAAAAGAGCTTGGTGACTGGCCTCTTTGGATAGCCAGATCTTTGTGTGTAGACTCTCCCGGTGGCAAAGAGGTTGAACTAAGACTTCAAACTCATTTTTCTTCAGGCATCAACATGTACACCGATTACAGTGGAATTGATTGCCCAAGAGAGTCTTTAAGGCTCGGTCTGGCAGGTTTGACAAAGCTTCTTGGATGGAGCTTTCCTGCTTGCGTTTGCCACTCCCGCTCTTCAGACAAGGACCCTAGCTGCAGGGCAGTTCTTCAGCACCTGGCTCAAGAAGACAATGGCTGTGTTTTTGGTGATATCTTGGACAGGCTTCCTGACTGGGCACGCTCTTGGATTGATGCAGCTCTCCCATCTTCAGGTGCGACTTGTGAGCAAAAAAAGGAGGCGCACCGTGCAATTGTCGATTGGGTGGCCAATCATGCTGACCAATTGTTCACTGATGATGCCACCTCTTGGTGTTACGCTCATGACTGCAAGTGCCCATCTCATCCTGTTCTTGCCAGGGACACCTTCAAACGTTTTCCGAGGCCTTTGATGGTCACATGTGCTGGAGTCTCTTGTTTGCCTTGGTCAGCAGAAGGTTCGCAGGAGGCTGAAGCAAGCACTTGTGAAGTTCCCCATGGAGTTTGGATTTGGGAAAGAAAGGTCAGAGCAGAAAAATATCAAGAAGATATTGCCTTCTTGGAATGCACTCCTCGCTACCCGATCGAGTCTGGCTTTCAGGACAATTTGGAAGGGTCTCATTTTTGCATTTGGGTTCGTGTTGGTCCAGAATTGCTTGGGTGGCCGCACAAGCGGATGAGAGTCTTGGGAGCAGCCTTGAATTTGAAGACGGTGGATTGGCATGGCCCACCTGACCAGAGAGCAATAGCCATTGATTTTGCCTCACGCTTTCATCGTGCCACTGTGGCGTCTGGTGATGTCTTTGCTTTGGCTTCTGAGTCTGAACGGCAGCAAGAATATATTGGCTTGGCAAAGAAACAGAAGAACCATTTGAAGCCTGCGCATTTGGATTCAATTCCCAAGAAGGAACTTCTTCGTTTGCTTTTGCCGCCTGGTGCTGTCCAAAGGTTCAATGAATGGATGGATACTGCTTCTGATGGTTGCTCTTTGGGTGGCCGCTACATGTTTGATGTTGACCACCGCCCGAACACCAAAGGGAGCACAGGAGGCAGCGACTGGCCTGTGAACTTGAGGCATGGGACGGTGCTCTCAGTTGATTCAGAAGATGCAGACTCATGGAAGATCGTGACAACCATGGAGCATTTTGCATCCATGGGCTTCCTGGTTTTTCCTGAACTTCAGGAAACATTCTCAGGATGGTCAGGAGCCCAGTTCTTGACTGATTCTTCCCGGTTTCAACTCAAGAGGTTCCTGGGCAATGGAATGCACTTGGTTACGCAGGCTGCTTGGATGTTCTATGTACTGGGGCACACAAGCCTCAAAGACCCCAGGCATGAAGCTTCCGGCTCAGACTTTGACGCCACTGCATGCAGACAGGTGTAGTAGCAATGGGTCTCAACAAAAGCAATGCTTTCGTTTGCGCTATGATCTTGGATCCAGGATCTTGGCATGTGCCATGGTTCGTTCTTTGAAGAGCTAAATCCTGGAATGTCTTCCAAAGCACATGAAGCGGCAGTGCTTAGGAGAGATTTTGAACCAGAGCCCAATTTGGTATTGGGCTTTGCTGCGCTGCAGTCCTCATGGCAGCTCAAAAAAGAGCCACTCTGGGAACTGACATAAGCTTATTTGCAAAGTTTAATGCTTTTGGTCTCAACTCTCAACAGAGAATGTTTTCTCAGTGCCGCTCAGACTACAAAGTAGGTGTTGCTAGCAAGATCATTTGTTTGCCAGATGGATGAGTCAGATTCTAAAAGCTCCAGTTAGATTTGCTCATTCTTGCTGCGCATGTTCTCTCACGCTTTCCTTCATTCTATGTCTTCTTGCAGCTGTGATTTTGTCAGAAGTCAAGCTTTCGTCCTGCTTGGCACTGCTTTGGCTGCGGCGGTGGTCATGGATGACTTCGATGCTTTGACCCAGGCTGAGGCTGAGGCTTCTGATGGGAACAAGGGAGGCGTGACTGCTGCTCCCAAAGCTTCAGGCAAAGCAAAGGCCAAGGCAAAGGGCGGTGGCGGCGAGACAGCCTCCAATTGCTTCGTTTGTGAGGAGAAGAAGTTGCGGAACAGCAAGTTTTGCAAGAGTCACCATCGCGCAGCTGAGAATATGAAGTACCAAGCTCAGAATGCCAAGCCTCCTGAGCTCACTAGCTACAACCAGGTGATGAACGACCCAAGCAAGGCAAAAATTGCAATTGAAGACTTCATGAGGGACAACCCTGAGGGATCAGGCCGCAAGCGTCTCATAGATTGGGCAGCTTGGAAGCGTGACCATGGTGTGAGGCTCTCCTACACTGTGCGAGAAGGTGAGGAGCTGTTGGACATCGATGACTACTATGTGATGCGCTCTTTGCCCAGGGGCAAATCCAGAGCAGAGTCTGATGCTGCCTTCAAAGAACTTTTGCAGGGCCTTATGATCGAGAAGGTGAGGGTCCACTCACGAAGCTTTGGGTGCCAAAGCACAAGGAGAGGATGCGTGATCGGACACACTTTGTGGAAAGCAGTGTGACAGAAGGATCCAAACAGCTCAAGAACTCAGATTCGAAGGAGAAAGAGAGCATGATGCAGATATGCCAATCTGCTGTTGGTGGCCATGACTCTTCCTTCTTGAGGAGCGCTTCCACCAAAGCTATCACCAACGAGGCAGGTCCTGTCAAGCGTGGTCCTGAGCAGGTGGAGGAATCCGATGTGCCTCCAAAGAGGGTCAGGAAGGGCAATGTTGCTGATGAAGCTCCCAAGAAGTACGGGAAGCTCAAGAAGGACAGCAGTGTCAGGGTTGTTTCCTTTCTGGCATGGGCAGCGGGGTGAAAGGGGGTAAGGGAGTTCTAGCTCTAGAGGGGGTGAATTGGGTTGATGATGCACTGTTTGATCCTGAATTCATTTTGCATTTTTAGTTTTCTGTTCTGCAGGACTTGCCTGGAATCGAGAAGTTGGTCTCTGATGCTTCTGACAAGCTCAAGAAATCCATTGCTTCTGTCCAGCCTGCCGCTGACCCAGATGCCCCCAACGACCCTGAGTTAGATGCTTACATGCTGACTGGCAGCAGCAGGCAGGTTCTGGCGCAGCTTTGGCTTTGCAAGGGGTTGGATGAAGCTTGATTGGTCCCAAGACTCCTTCAAAGAAGCCAGATGCAACAGACTCTTCATCTGCAGCTCCAGCTGACCCGCCAAAAGAGGCAGATTCCAAGTCAGAGTGCAAGTCAGAAGCCAAGTCAGAAGTCAAGTCTGACTCCAAGTCAGATGCCGGTTCTTGTGCTCCTCGGAGGTTGTCTTCTGGTGCCATGAAGAGCCCTGGCGAGAAAGTGTCTGAGATGCTTCGCCATGCAGCTGATGATGGTGGGAAAGGCTCAATGGTGGTCCAAAGCCTTCCACAGTTGCTCTCCCTCTTGGAAATGACAGAGCTGTGTGAAAAGGTTTTGAACTCTCAGGGCATGCTGGAGTTGGATGAGAAGTTGGAGTGCTGGAAGCACTCTGTGGAGCAGGTCAAGCTTCTGGTTGCTGGAATTTCCAAGAGCGCCCAGAATATCACCTCGCATGTTGCCAACCTATCCCGCAAACAGAAGCGGGAGGAGACCAAACGCAAGAAGCAGCAAGAGTCGACTGCTGTTGCAGAGGCCAAAAAGATGGCCAAAGCAGCAGCCAAGAAGGTCAAGGACCAGGAGGACACTGTCGATCCGATCTTCGAAGTTGGCTTGGACAAGCTTCAACATGATATGGTCATGGGGCCCATGAAGGTCAAGGGCAAACACATGTTGGTTGAAAGCATTTTGCACTTTCTCCAGTATGTTTCAATTTATTTTTTGTTATTTCCTTCTAGTAATGCTTTTCAATCATTTCTGTTGATTCAACCCACTAATTAAAGACCTAAGAGGCAGCAACAAGTTCAAACAGCTCCACAGAACCAACTTGGTGAAATCTTTTTTCTCACAGGAAGTGGCTGGCAGTGAGTGGTCAGAGTTCCCCACGGTGGATGAGCCGATCCTTTTCAAGGACAACAGGAAGATCTCCGAGTGGGCCAATGAACCAAAAATGCAGTTGGCCCTTGGTAGCTTTGGCGGCCGATACAAGAAGACTGACATGTTCTCTCGGAGTGGCAAGGCTCAAATGGTTCTTTTCGCTAAGGAAGGAAAAGAAGAGTCCCATGCTCTCATCAGCAACTTCACTGCACCGATCCCTGATGACAACAAAGTGAAGGGCGAGAATGATTTCTCTAAGATTACGGACACTTTGTGGTTGTTTGGCTATGATCCTGCTCTGACGAGCATCTCAGCAACCCCAAATGGCATGGCAATGATGAAGGTTCTCGCGTTTGGAGAGGTGAAGTGGTTGGTAATGGAGATTTCTTCCACTGTTGCCGCTCTGAGGGCGGAACTTGGTGTGGATGTGATCAAAGCTGATGATTTGGAGGCATTGATTGGTTCCTTGACCTATGGCAACCTCGAGAACTGCAAAAAACATGGAATGAAAGCAAAATCATGCCTGCAGCGCCCCAATGAAGCGGTCTTTGTTGCAGCGGGTTGGATTGCTGCAGAGCAGTCTGTGAAGGGCATGCTGATCTATGGACTCCGTGCGAGTTTGCTGCTGAAGTCTGAGGCCTCATGCCACAGCTATGAGGCTTACATCGGCCTCAATAGTGCTTCTGGGAAACCAGTAGACAAGATGCAGCAAGTGCTTGACTTGATGCAGGCATAGAGGCTTGCTGATTCTCCAGTCTGAGAGCTGGGGCGTTCTGGGGCTTTCAAGGTTCAACTGTGTGAGAGTGAGACCTTTTCACTGATAGTTGAAGTCCTTGTTCAAACTACTGTTTGGTTCCTTGTATGATGAATTTTCTTAGGGAGAGGTTCTTTTTCCAAGGTTTCAGGGAACACAGCAAGACCACTGCCCCTCTTAGTTGTGATCCTGGCTTGATGGATCCTTTGGTTGACGGATCTGTTTTTGCGAGTCAGCCGGGCGGAACACTAGACAGCAGCAGTTCGAACTGCACCCAACCAGGAAAACACAGCTTTTGTTCGTGCTGCATTGTCTTTTGTTGCACAAACGGAGGTTTTGAGCACAAAACGAAACAAACGAAACAAAACGAAACATGTGTTTTGCAGATTCAGTGATGTGAAAGATGCAGTGTGTGTGTGTGTGTGTTTCATTCAGGAACATATATATCTATTATGTAAAAAATACATGGTTTTTATATGTGTTTCTCTTAATGATTTTGATTCCATCTAAGTTCACCTGAACCCACCTGAACTCACCTGAATCGGTTTGTGTTTGTGTTGTTTTGGGGGGGCTGTGATGAGTTTGACGTCTACATGTTTTTGTGTAAATATCACTCTGTGACACACATATTGTACAATATTATATTTATATATATGAGTACAAATATTATTGGGATACTGGCTCAACTGTGAATTTTTCAGAGATCTTGGACCACTTGCATTCAATGACCCATGGTCAGTTGACCCATGGTCAAAAGATTGAACATTGACAAGGATCATGCATCAGTTTGTTACAAACTGATGGAAACACAGGGCCTGTGGAGTTTATGTTTTTTCAGTGTCAGCACTTAGGGGCTCAAGTTTTCAAGTACCAGGG